TATACTCGAACATCATGTTAATTCACGCGTGTTTGTCACGAGAGAGGTTCAGGGGTTTATAGATCGGGGGGCCGACGTAAGATGTCTCGACCAGTGTCAGGAGGGAGCTCGTTGGCGCAAGCGGACGAGATTTTTGTGTCTGAACATAGATGTCCAAGATAGTAGTTGTCTCGATCGAAGGTGTGCCCAGATCAATTGAATCTGTAATAAGTCTGGCCGTCAACACATTGTTCTTGAGGGCAACGCCCCGAATGGTGCGAAATGGACTGCTATCGCTGCCGCCTACCCGCCTGCCCTCAATAGGAAGCTTGCCAAAGTCCTCTTGAGTGAATGGCGCGCGTCTTTATATAATCGCACTTGCCCGCCCACCCAGTAAACATTCTTGGGAACGGCTTGGGTTGTCGGTGCCTCACAGCTGAGCGCCGAGACGCGCAGCCGTTCGTTCATCGGAGTCCCCGCCTTGAAAAGACTCGGGACGTCCTGGTTTGCGCTTGCACGTGAAGGAAGTCAAGAGGGGTTTTCTATATGTCGCCCCTTTGGCTCTCTTACTCTTGCTTCACTTAGCTTTTCTGGTCCCCCGCCCCCCCGAACCCTCTCTAGCATGCGTGACACATGCTCAGTATCATTCTCATTTTTCTCTTTAGGTTGTTGGTGCCTCACAGCTGAGCGCCGAGACGCGCAGCCGTTCGTTCATCGGAGTCCCCGCCTTGAAAAGACTCGGGACGTCCTGTCTTTGGGTTCATCTTGGGGTCATTTTGGGCTCTCATAGGGCCATCTTGGCCGTCTTGGAGACCACTTTGGGGCATGTAGGAGCGACAAGGGCAACCGCCCGTGTATCACGCACGAGCAGCCTTCGGTTGGCAAGCGGCGTCGGCCGCAGCCCCGATGGGAGCATTAAAAGAACCAGAAACCATCATGGGGCGGCGGATCGAAGACGCCTGCGGCGAACCACCGCCGCCCCCTGCCTCTTGGAATCACCCATATGGCCGATCGTTGTGGCAAGAGTTCTGCAATGCATCGGACTATGTGTTCCCCCAGCCGTTGTGGAAGCCGTTCGGGAAACATTTGGGGGAGGATGGCGGGGAAGATCAGGAGGAGTTGTAGGAAGAGGAGGGGGAGAAGGAGGGGGTATCTTGGAAGCCTCTGGGGGCACTCTGTGGAGCTTCCTGAGAGCCTCTTGGAGGCATCTTGGGGGCCTCCTGGGGGCCTTTTGGGAGCTTCTCGGGGGGCCTCTTTGGACGTCTTAGGGCATTCCTGGCCCGTCTGACGCAGTCGGAAGGCGTCTTGGGCCTCTCTGGGCCGACTTGGGGCCCTCTTGGGGTGCTCCGGGGCCGTCTTGGAGGCCATCTTGGGCCATCTTGGAGGCCTCTTGGGCGATCTTGGAGTGATCTTTGGGGGCTGTTGGGCCGTCTCGGGCCGTCGAAAGGCTGAAAAGAAGCACATGCTAACATCCTTCAAACAGCAATGGGAAATCACTGATGATGGCCTCTTCGGGCCTTCCTGGAGGCCTTCTTGGAGGCCCCTTGGGCCGTCTTGGAGACCTCTTGGAGGCCTCTCGTGCCGTCTTGGGCCATCTTGAGCCATCTTGGGCCGGCTTGGTGGCCTCTTGAGCAATCTTGGAGGCATTTCGGATCCTCTTGGCTGTCTTGGAAGCCATCTTGGACCATCTTGCGCCAACTTGGAGACCGTCTTGGCCATCTTGGAAGCCATTTTGGAGCCATCTGGAGCGGGAAAAACTTTTGCAACCACCTCTGGAAGAGCCTTCCGGGTAGCCGGCGCGCTGGTCCGAAGCCCTAGTTGGGAGTTCTAAGATTCTTGCAGAACCAAGAATTCCATGAAGTTTGGCACGCCAGGCACCCTTGTAGCAAACCAACAGGGGGCGGCGGATCTAATGGCCTGCGGCCCACCGTACCTGGGTTGCGGGTATGGACCCTGTTGGATTTTCGTTGGGATCTCGTGGTAAGCCTCTTGGGGGCCTCTTCAAGGCAGTGTGAATGACTCTTGGGGGCCGTTTTGGGACCTCTTGGGGTCTCTCTTGGGCCTTTGGGGGGCCTCTTTGGGCCTCTTCGGGGCCTCTTGGGGGCCCCTTGGGGCCTCCTGGGCGTCTCTTGGGGCCTTCTGGGGGCCTCTTGGAGCGGAAGGCTCGGATTTTCGGTGTGTGTGTGTGTGTGTGCGTGTGTGCGTGTGTGCGTGTGTGCGCGTGTGCGCGTGTGCGCGTGTGCGCGTGTGCGCGTGTGCGCGCGTGCGCGTGTGCGACGCGTGTGCGACGCGTGTGCGACGCGTGCGCGCGTGTGCGCGTGTGCGCGTGTGCGCGTGTGCGCGTGTGCGCGTGTGCGCGTGTGCGCGTGTGCGCGTGTGCGCGTGTGCGCGTGTGCGCGTGTGCGCGTGTGCGCGTGTGCGCGTGTGCGCGTGTGCGCGTGTGCGCGTGTGCGCGCGTGTGCGCGTGTGCGTGTGTGCGCGTGTGCGCGCGTGCGCGTGTGCGCGTGTGCGCGTGTGCGCGTGTGCGCGCGTGCGCGTGTGCGCGTGTGCGCGTGTGCGCGTGTGCGCGTGTGCGCGTGTGCGCGTGTGCGCGTGTGCGCGTGTGCGCGTGTGCGCGTGTGCGCGTGTGCGCGTGTGCGCGTGTGCGCGTGTGCGCGTGTGCGCGTGTGCGCGTGTGCGCGTGTGCGCGTGTGCGCGTGTGCGCGTGTGCGCGTGTGCGCGTGTGCGCGTGTGCGCGTGTGCGCGTGCGCGCGTGCGCGCGTGTGCGCGTGTGCGCGTGTGCGCGTGTGCGCGTGTGCGCGTGTGCGCGTGTGCGCGTGTGCGCGTGTGCGCGTGTGCGCGTGTGCGCGTGTGCGCGTGTGCGCGTGTGCGCGTGTGCGCGTGTGCGCGTGTGCGCGTGTGCGTGTGTGCGTGTGTGCGTGTGTGCGCGTGTGCGCGTGTGCGCGTGTGCGCGTGTGCGCGTGTGCGCGTGTGCGCGTGTGCGCGTGTGCACGTGTGCGCGTGCGCGCGTTCGCGCGTGCGCGCGTGCGCGCGCTTGCGCGTGCGCAGGCGAGTGCGCGTGAGAGTGCGCGTGCGCGTGCGCGTGCGCGTGCGCGTGCGCGTGCGCATGCGCTTGCGCATGCGCGTGCGCGTGCGCGTATGCGTGCGCGTGCGCGTGCGCGTGCGCGTGCGCGTGCGCGTGCGCGTGCGTGTGCGCGTGTGTGTGCGTGTGCGTGTGCGTGTGCGTGTGTGTGTGTGCGTGTGTGTGTGTGTTTTTGAGCGTGTGCGCGTGCGTGTGCGTGTGCGTGTGTGTGCGTAGATGCGTGTGTGTGCGTGTGTGCGTGTGTGCGCGTGTGCGCGTGTGCGTGTGTGCGTGTGTGCGTGTGTGCGTGTCTGTGTGTGTGCGCGTGTGCGCGCGTGCGCGTGTGCGCGTGTGCGCGTGTGCGCGTGTCCGCGTGTGCGTGTGTGCGCGTGTGCGCGTGTGCGCGTGTGCGTGTGTGCGCATTTGTGCGCGTGTGTGCGCGCATGTGTATGTGTGTGCGTGTGTGTGAGTGCCTGCGTATGTGCGTGCGTGTGTGTGTGTGCGTGTGTGCGTGCGTGTGTGTGTGTGTGTGTGCGTGTGTTGTGTGCGTGTGTGTGTGCGTGTGTGAGCGTGCGTGTGTGTGTGTGCGTGTGTGTGTGTGCGTGTGTGTGCGTGCGTGTGTGCATGCGTGCGCGTGTGCGTGTGTATGTGAGTGTGTGCGTATGTGCGTGTGTTCTGTGCGTGTGTGTGTGCGTGTGTGTGTGCGTGTGTGTTTGTGTGCGTGCGTGTGTGTGTGTGCGTGTGTGTGTGTGTGTGCGTGTGTGTGTGTGTTGTGTGCGTGTGTGTGTGAATGTGTGTGGTTGTGGGGGGAGACTTGCTCCGGCCTGTGCAGGGAGGAGAGGAGGAGATGGGGAGGAAGGCAAACAGGAAGATGAGGAAAACGACACCAGAGAGAGGGGCGTGGAGGCACCCAGGGGAGGAGGAGGAGGAGGAGGAGGAGGAGGAGGAGGAGGAGGAGCAGGAGGACAATAAGAGAGGAGAACAGGGAGACAAGCCATAGGGCGTTCTTGCGGGTTCGGCGTTTTCCTTGGGGCTTCGGGGGGTCCTGAAACGGCGGAAAGTTCCGAAGGTGGAAGCTCTCTTTGGAGCTCCGTGGCAACGGTCGGAGTCTCGTGGGGAACTCTGGGCATCTGGGGCTGTGTTTTGAATTCCCTGTCACCCCCGGACGGCCGTAGGGACGGGCGGAGACTTGCTGGCGCGTGAAGAGAGGAGAGCAAGAGAGTGCCCTGGCGCCGCCTCCGCCTGCATTGTTGTGTTCACACAGGCGATCGCTTCAGGCGGCGTCAGTGGTGATCGGCCGCGGTGGTGGTCTAGGCACGGTCCCCCGCCGCGTGCGTTGTCCTTTTGGGCACCATGTTTGGGATGGGTGCCTCGGACCACGCTGCTGTTCTCGGTGAAGGGGAAAAGAAGGAGAAGGATAGCGGCATCAGTGACAGGGGGTGGAGGCGCCCAGAGGCAAAGTAGGAGGGGAAGGAGGAAAGGAGAGGAGAACGGGGAGAAGAGTTTTCTGAGGTCCCGTTTGAGGTCTGGGGCATTACTTGGGGCGGCCGTCGCGGAGGTCCCCCCTGTCACCCTTCAGTCGGCCATGGGGGTAAGGGTGGGGCGAAGTTTGCTGGTGCGCACGGGGACGGGAGGAGGATAAGGCGAGAAGAACGAGGAGGAGAGCGGCACGGGAGAGAAACGTGTGGAGGCAGCCCAAAGATTTGTTTGGACGCGGGCTAGAGTCAAGCGCTAGGCCCCACAGCGCACATGGCAACGTGAGGGGACCGAGCAAAGACCCGAAAGACGAAGGCGAGGGCCAAAAGAGACCGACTACGGTGAGCGAAGGGGCCGACCGAAGAGGGAACGCGCTAACAAGCGCAAGCAATCAAGCTTAATTCAGGCAGTGGGAACTACCGCATCATATCCTCATCATCACCTCAGTCAACCCCCCCCCCCAACCCACCCCCTACCAATATCGGAGACAGGCAGCAAGAAATAGAAACATGAGCACGCACGTGCTATACGATTATGAAGCACACAAGCTCGCATTAAACGCATAGGCGCGCAGACAATTTACACGCCTGCAAAATGCATGCACAAATCCTCAAGTTCATAATTTTGCACATCCAAATCACCCAATCCACCCCGCCCACAACTAAAGCAAGACATGAGAAAAGGAAGGAGGCATGAGGAGGGGAGCGGAAGGGACAAGGTCTAGTCAAGGCAAGGCCCGCTCACCACCCGGGAACCCAGCGCGAACTCTACAAGCTGCGGCAAGAGGGAGTCCCACAGCTTGTCGCACCACCTCCACCAAGAAATGTACTCTGCCAAGAGCCTCAGCGAAAGCCAGGCGGACGATAGCTCGTGGCGGGAAACGGAAAGGCTGCGGCACAGCAGGCTGGAGCCAACATTGCGCCACGACTTGGCGTGAGGTCCACCATGCCGCACTCGAGGACCGAGCGGATGCACCGGGAGGCCCACGACAAGGAAGTATGTCACGGTCACCGACATCGGGTAAATCACGAACCCCAGGAGGCTCAGGACCTTCTCCACCAGGCGGCACCCGAGCGCGACCCCCGCCATCAGGAATATCACGGCGTGCAGACAGCCTGCGAACTTCCACGCAAGGGAGCGCAAGAACATCAAGGGGTACACCATTGGCCGCGTCAGGAGGCTCGGGATGATCAGGAAGTGAACGTCCAAATGCGTGAGGGACCCCTCGACGATCGAAAAGACCATGGCCATCTCCGCCAGAAGGCTCACGAACAGGGGGCGCCCCTCCAGGAAACCCAGGTCCCTCTCCAACGGGAAGTGGCCGACCGCGTCCAGCGGGGGGATCAGAACCGGCAGCCCCAGCAAGCTCACGACCGTAAGGGAACTCCAAGCCAGGATGTTCATCCCGATCGAAAAGTTGAGAGCGATGATGAGGATCAAAACGACCGCGATAGATAGCACGACGCTCAGGAAGAACATGAGTAGGCGGGTCAGCAACAGGGACATGTTTAGCATCCTACTGCGACTCCTGCCGCAACAAACATCGAAACCTCTCGCAACTCGGAAGCGCGATGTGCCTCGTAACGATGAGCGCAGTGTCAAGGATGCGCAGCTTCTTGGACAATGACCCTGAGACCCTCCCCGCACGACGGGCAAGCTTCGCTGCCTGCTGAAGTCCCGAGCAATGGAAATCAAGCTCTGCACTCAAGAGACGCAGCACCTCCCCGTGAAGAGAGCAGACAAGATCGACCATCAGTGTAGGTGAGAGGCAAGGGCAAGTCGTGGGCGCACGCCCATGCAGTAGCTTGAGCCAGAAATGGCGCCAGACGCAGCCAAATGGGGAGGAGGAGGAGGAGGAGGAGGAGGAGGAGGAGGAGGAGGAGGAGGAGGAGGAGGAGGGGGAGGAAGACGACCTGTGTAAACCCAAAGCTCATCAACGGTATTGCAGTAAACCCTCCCTCCAAGCTCCCTCTTCACAGGCCCCTACAGGGATTCTTTCCCACTCCGTTTGAAAACCCGGAAGTTTGCAAGAACACCACTGCAGGGGACTTCGCCACGAATCAACCTTGTGCCAGAACATTATTCCTGGAACTTCAACACCGCGGAAAACGTAATCGCTGCTCCCTGCGAAGCCTGCACCGCTGCAAAACACCGTGCCGGGGACGCCAACCATGAGAATGCTTAAAGCGGCTACACGCTCTCAGAGCGAGTGTGCGCGACGCCAAGGCGAGAGCCACATTTCGGAAAGGGCCCACCCCCAGCCGTAAAGCTATTGTCTTGTTGTCACAACACTCCTGTGGCGTTGGGCCCCCGCTTTGAAAAGACAGCGCCCCGCGTCTGCTCCTCTCCTCCTCCCTCCTCCCTGCCCTCCCTCCTCCCATCCCTGCCTCTGCCCCCCGCATGCCCACCATGTCAGCGAGCCCACTTCAGCGCTTCGTGGCCCCATAGGGAGCTCCACCAAAGGGCCCCGCAGGTGTGATCACATGCGTCGCCGCCACCCACTACGGCGCTTCGTGGCCCCATAAGGAGCTCCACCAGAGGCCCCAATGGTTGTGAGCATATGCGCCCCTGCCACCCACGTCGGCACACCCCTCACGCATCCACCGAGGGCCCCAGCCGTTGTGCTCACACCCCGCCATCCATGTCGGCACACTGCTCACACGCTTCGTGGCCCGCCCCATGGGGAGCTCCACCGAAGGCCCTGGTGGTTGTGATCACATGCGTCCCCGCCATCCATTTCGGCACAACCCTCACACGCTTCGTGGTCCCATCGAGAACGCCACCGAAAGCCCCGATGGTTGTGATCACATGCGTCCCCACCACCCACCTCAGCACAACCCTTACAGTTTGCGGCCCCCCAGGGAGCTCCACCGAAGGCACAACTGTGATCACATGGGTCCCCGCCCTCCATTTCGGCACGCTTCTCACACGTTCCGTGGCCACATAGGGAACTCCACAAAAGACCCAGCGGCTGTGATCACATGCGTCGCCGCCACCGGTTTCGGCACCCCGCTCACACGTTTCGTGGCCCCATAGGGAGTTCCACTGAAGGCCCCACTGTGTGTGACCACATGCGTCGCCGCCACCCGTGTCGGCACACACCTCACGCGCTTCGCAGACCCATAGGGAGCGTCACCGAAAACCCCGGTGGCTGTGATCACGTGCGTCGCCGCCACTCATGTCGGCACACCTTTCACGCCATTCGAGGCCCCATTCGGAACTCCACAAGAAGCCCACGTGGTTGTGGTCACATGCGCCCCCGCCAGCCATCTCGGCACACTGCTCACACGTTTCGTGGCCCCATATGGAGCCCCACCGAAGGCCTCAGTGGCTGTGATCACACGCGTCCCCGCCAACAATTTCGGCACACCCCTCACACGTTTCGTGGCCCCATGGGGACGCCACCGAAAGCCCCAATGGCTGCGCCCGCATGCGCCCCGCCACGAATGTCGGTACATCCCTCACACGCTTCGTGGCCACATAGGGAGCTCCACCGAAGAGGATAGGCACCACTGCGGCACTTACAACTGCATAAATTGGCGTCCTTCGCCAAGATAATTAAACGAATGTACGCGGCTCTACGGCGAGAGCCACATTGTAGACTGGAGCCGCCCTACACCCGTGAAGTTATTACAGAAGTTGACGAAGAATGAGAGCGGCGTTAAAACGATAACCACCTTTTGAAAAGGACTCAATCCGTGAAGTTCGTGTTTAACACGAATGTGCGCGGCGCTGAGGCGAGAGCAACATTTTGAAATGGGTCCGCCCTCCACCCGCGAGGGTATTACAAAACTCTTGGAAATAATGTGCGCGGCGCTACGGCGAGAGCCACCATTTGAAAAAGACCCGCCCTTCATCCATGGAAATCTTGCAAACTGTAAATGCGAATCACCTCGGCGCTAAGGCGAGACCTACAGTTTTAAAAAGACCCGCCCTCTGTCCGTTAAATTCTTGCACGCTCTTCAGCAAGAGGGCAGTCTGTGAAGCCTCCTGGCGAGTCCTCGGGCAATCTTGAGCCGCCATGGGGCTCACTGAGGGTCGTCGTGGGCCGTCCTGTCGCCCTCTTGAAAGCATCAAAAATGTCCTGGGACCGTCTGAGGCTGGCTTGGGGCCATCGGGGGGACCATCGGGGGATCCTCTGGCGCCCAGAGGCGCGCGAAGATCTCGCAACGCTGGTCCCATTCTAACGCGCTTCGCCCGGAAATGTAATACAGATGACGTTGGGTTCCAGCTTACCCTCTCGCATCTCGCCGAGCAGTGCCAGAGCTAGCTGCCACTGCGCGCCCTTGCCGCAGGCGCTGAGCCCAGCGTTGTAGCTGATGACGTCGGACTCCAGCTTCGAATCCCACATCTCGCTGAGCAGCGCTAAAGCCCGCTGCCACTGCTCGCCCTTCTCGCACGCGCTGATCCCAGCGCTGTAGCTGACTAGGGCTGACCCGTGGACTCCGTCCACGACATCTTTCTGGAATGGTTCTCGGAGGAACGGCGCAGATTGTACCGAAAATCTACAAACACGGCGGCGGCTCGGGCGGCGGCAGCGAGACCGCGCCTTCGTGTCCGAGCTCTTGCAGCGCTGCAGCAGCTTGGCCCAGCGCACTGCTCGGTCACCCCCCTCCTATTGAGGACAGTTTCGAAGTCTCTCGGGGATGTGCGTCGAAGTCGAAGCCCATCTGAGGCGTCTCAGGAGCGCTCGGGGAAGGGCTCGGGAGGCCATCGGGGAAAGCCACCGAAAGCGCCGGGGAGGCTCGCAATGATCTACAGGGAGGGCCCAAGAGAGCTTCAAGAAAATTTGAAATCCAGTGAACTCTTAAGAGAAACCGCTGTTGGGTCGGCCATCACCTCCGGGCGCGCCTTGATGGTGCGATCCAGTCGCATCACCGCCAACTGGAGGGTTTGTTCGCCATGTCCCATTCTGTTCGCCCAGAGGGTCTGTGGAGGCCTTCGGGCGAACAGAACGGGACAGGGCAAGGAATGGGGAAGACTTGTCCGAATCTCCTGGGTCCCCCAGGTGCTCGTCCGAAGAATGCGGAGAGGTCCCAGGGTCATATCAATTGGCTGCTGTCCCAGGGGTCCGGTCTGCTTGGCCCGAAGAGTTTGCCAAGGCCCCTGGGGGAACAGAATGGCACAGCATATCGGGCAAAGGGGGGCGGTAGCTGGCCTGTCAGACCCAGCGTTCGTCTTCTGCCCAAGCGGCGCGGGGCCCACGGGCCCCAGGGTTGGCGTCCCGCTGGGATTCCTCTTGTTCGCCCACAGGGTTGGAGGAGGCCTCCAGGCGAACAGAATGGGGCAGGACAATGAAGGTGGGAGACTCGTCGCAAGCTCCCAGCCCCCCCAAGTGTGCGCCCGAAGGGTGTGGGGCCGCGTTGACTCCCTCAAAGGGCCGTCTTGGAGCCGTCTGGGCCCGTCTTGAGGGCGCCGTTTGCCCTGATGGGGCCGTCTTGGTTCGTCGTGGGCCCCTCATGGGCGCGTCCGTAGGCCGTCCTGGGCCCATCGGGGTCCTCGTGGGGCTGTCTTGGAGCCGTCTGGGACTGTGAGGAGGCCGTCTTGGGCCCCTCCTGTGCGCCTCCTTGGGCCGTCCTGGGCCCAGCAGGGGCCGTGTTGGCACCCTCTTGGGGCTGTCTTGGAGCCGTCTTGAGCCGTCGCAGCGCGCCTTGGGTTGTGCTGGAGCCGTCTTGGTTTGGTCTTGGGGGTTTGTGGGTGTGGGGCATTGGTGTGGTAGGTGTGTGTTGGCTGTTGGGGGTTGGGCGCGTTATGCACCCGTCTTGTGCTTGGCACGGAGGGTCTTGGCCCAGTTTTGTGTTTGATTGCCCCTGGGTGGGTTGGGGGGCCGACGCAAAAAGTTGGGGGTGGGGGGGTTGTGCTTAGGGTGGGTGGTTTTGCTTGGGTGTGGTGGTTGTGGGAGGGTTGTTGGGTCTTGGGGGTGGGCGGGGGGGGGGGGTTGGTTGGTTGGGTGGCCTGTGAGGTGGGTGTTGGCTTGGCGGGCGACACGTCTTGGGGCCTTCCTGGGCGTTTCCTCGGACCCTCCTGGGACTTTCTGGGGCCTCTTGGTGCATCGGACCGCCGAAACGGCGGGAAACGCAAAGGGTGTCACAGTAAACAATGGAAAATTAACGATTTTTGCCAGCTGGGACTCTCTTGCCATCTTGGCCCGTCTTGAGGCCCCGAACGGGCGCGTCCTTGGGCCGTCCTGGGCGCACCCTCCTGGGACCGTCTTGGAACCGTCTTGGGCCGTCTTGAGCGCGCCTTGGGCCGTCCTGGGCCGGTCTGGGGCCGTGTTGGCACCCTCGCGGCGAGGAAGCTCGGAGGCGGGCTCGAGGCCTCTTCGGGGCCATTGTTGAAGCTGTTGGGGCCTCTGTAGGGGCCTCGTTTGGGTTCCTTGGGAGCCTCCTGGGGCCTCTTCGGGGGATTCTTGGCGGCCCCTTGGGGCCTCTTGGGGGCCTGTTTGGGCCTCCTGGCGCCCTCTTGGGGCGGAAGGCTCGGATTTTTGGTCCGTGGTCCCCCTCTTGGCCCCCTCTTGGGCCTGTCTTCGGGCCCTCGTGGGCCGTCTTGAGCGTCTCTTGGGTCGTCTTGGGGCCCTCTTGGGCTGTCTTGGGGCGCTCTTGGAAACCTCTTGGGCCGTTCTGGGGCGCTCTTGGAGGCCTCTTGGGCCGTCTTCGAGCGTCGAAAAGCGGAAAAGGCGAGAAGGCCAAAATCCTTCCAAAACCGTCGTAAAGCGGACGATTTTGAGGCCCAAACCGTCCAAAACCTCCTGAGGCGGTCCCCTCGTCTGCCCCCCTCGCTTCGAAGCAGTTTTTAAGCCCCGTGGCACCT